TTGTGTGCTTCTAGGTTTTCCATGGTTGTCTAGATTCAATTGACTCATGATCTCAGCTATTATTGATTTGTATTAACAACATCATAATACACATTATATGACTGGATCTATTTTTTATTCAAGCTTTGAGATATTTCATAATAGAGTGTTTTTCAGTTGTATAATCCTAACTAACATTATACAGCAATTTAAATGAAATATTTCTACAGTTAATAGGTTCATATTCTTTAATATGCTTAATAATAATCATCAAAACTGAATAAGTTCCGTTGGCTTTAATAACAAACCAATCAGGTAAAACATAACAGATCTCGGATTCAGTTCACTTATTCATGTCACACAATACTATTTTGGTATTACAAATGATGTCAACTATAAATCATAATTCTTACTCTTCATATAACTTTATGAACTTCATTTAACCCTAGTATGTAAGTAGACAATTTTAAAGTCAGTCTGGAGCCATTCAAAGTTCATCCATAAATTATAATTTTACTATTCTGTCTTAATATCAAATGGGTTTTGTGAATATTATAGTAATTTCAACGGTTAAGATCATGAGTCAATTGAAGCTAGAGCACCGTGGAAAACCTGGAAGTACTGGATGGCCGTTTTGTTCCCATGTGGAACTCCTCAGCAGTGCGCCTCAACAATCTCGTCCCCTGCGAGATCCGAACACAGGACCTGCTGGTTTCGCGCGCGAGCACTTAATCACTAGACCACTGAGCCGGCATCCTGCATCCGGCATTCTGTTTTAGACAACTATTGAAAAGATCTATATTTACATCTTAGTTATATTTTAGAATTTTATCTTATAATGAACATTTGAATATACATTTATATCTAACTTTTAACCATTAAACAGATGGATATAATTTCAAGTGTTTCCATCTATAAGTATACTTGAACCCCAGTCATAATCATTATGATCATATACAATCATTTATTGATTAAAATACTAAATCATTATTCTTATTAACTTGATATACTACTTAATAATATTTAAGAGTGAATATTGTGTCAAATCAAGGGCTTAACAGTGAACAATTCATATGAGAATAATGAGAAATGTATATGTATATGTATATAGAACTATATATAGGAAATTAAGTAGAATGGATAAGAGATGATTGTAAACACTTCAATTAGATTGTTAACCTTATTTTATTATATGATTATGTAGATTAACTATAACTATAATATATATCTAAATTCATTTGGTATTGTTTATTTGAAACTATCCATTGATGTTTAGGACTGTAATTAGCTATATGGATTGCCTCGATAATGCCTTAGTTCTTAAAATCGTAATAAGCAAAGATGAATAGTTGCTAACAGTACAATTCAGGTTACGCGTTTCGTCCTAGTTTTGAGCTCATCAGTTGGATGTACCTATATCTCAGAGTTGATATTCACTCTCGGACTTGAACCCGGTATCGTTCGCTTTAAATATCATCGCATTGTCTACTTAACTACTGAGTCTTGATAGCCAATTGCTTGTGCTTGTGAAGTTTAAATTCACTTCATATTGTTTACTTGAATCTTCCCATTGATGTTTACAGTCTGTTATTGGCATTTGTGCATATTGTATAGGTTGCCTCGATATTGCATTTAGTCATAAGCATTCTAAAAAAAGATGAATAATGGCTAGCAGTAGAATCTAGGATACGCGTTTCGTCCTTTTTTTGAACTCGTCAACTGAATGCATCTACATCTCAGAGTTAGACTCGAACCTAATACCATTCATTTTAAACTTGATCATATTATCTACTTAATTACTATGCCTTGATAACTATATCTAATGAAAACCAAAAAGAAAATGAGTCATGAAACTAGGTAAACATAAGTTATTCATGTTCATCATTTGAAATGAACTCAATCTCTCTCATTCACAAGAAAAAAACACTTTGTTTTTGGGTGTAATTTACATTGACAATAATGTAAATGATGAATCATATATTCACAATGAAAATAGAAATCACACCCCTTTGTATAAAAATAAAGAAAAAAAAAACAAAAAAAGGGGAACTTCTTTTCTTTTCTTTTTTCAAAAGAAAAAAAAGATGTTCTTTTATTTATTTTTTTCTTTTCTATGGTTATTAGAGAAAAGAAAAAAGAACAAGAAGAAGCGAGTGTTCATTATTCAATATACCTTGATGAATAGAAATATGAAATTGAATGAGACAAATTAAAGTTAATCTTAATTAGTGTTACAGATTAGGATTGTTAAAAGAGAAAAGAGTTCAGTTAAAGCATAATATGATATGTCTCCAAAATACCCTGGTATGGATGAAAGTGGAAAGAGTTTGCTTTCCCTCTTGAAATGCTCTCATATGGTTACAAGTATACAGCCACTCTGTCAAAGAAGTCCTAATCAATGTCTTCTCACGGTGAAGGGGTTGTTGTTTACGAAATTGAGAAGACAAAAAGTGAATGTCTGGCGCTTTAACCGGGTTGGTGGATACTCAGGGTCCAACTAGAGGAGTTGGGAAACCATGATTCCAAACCAATGATGTACATGGGCTCCAGGATTTTAAAGAAACAAATGGCGTATGAAAAAATTGTTGCTCACTGGATACCATGAGACTGCATCTCCCTATGTTGCCCCACTGCCTTATAGATCAGACATTCAGGTCGAAGGCTCCAAGTATGGTTCTCTAAGAAAACCACCTGCTTCGGTCTGGGCACAGCGCACATACAAATCAAGTGACTAGTGTGGCGTACATCTATTTAGTGTCTCTTTGTACCGATATTTATGTGTTCAAATAAATAAATAAATAAAAAGAAGAAAAAATGATTGGTCTTATTTTCTGATAAAGCTGTATAATCTTAAAACGTATGAACTAGATAGTTAACAATTAATAATAAGATATATTTGAATTAGACAAATAAGATGGTTAGGAGATCTGGTACCTTTCAAGAGATTTGAAATCTCAGTATGAGATGTTACCACAGAGTAATTTCTAGTCAGCCTATCATTCCTATTAGGTTATGCAAATCATATCAGGAGTAGATCAGTTGCAAAGTGTTGAATTGTAATAAAGAGAAAACAGATTTCATATTCTATGGAAAGAAAAGGGAACTTTCTTGGTTTCACTCTTAGCACATATTATCAAAGATTTGTTACCTAAAGTCTTTTACTCAAAAATTTGTTCATCTTGATTCTGTAAAAAAGAGGAAAAACAAATTAATTCTTGTAGATCCCTTGGTATTTTTCAAAGTTTTAGCTTTTTAAAATCGGTAGAATCCTTCATAAGTCTTTCTTCATTCTATATATGGGATGTAACTGAAAACCAAGAACCATTGAATTTTGGTTTCGTCTTAGTATAAGACTTTGTAGCTGTAAACACTCACAAGTCCATCAAGAACTGAACTCAGCATCTTCTACACAGATGTAAGAGCTTGAACTTTTAGCCACTAATTAACAACTCAGTAGTGTTCATATTGAATTTTAATCAATTCACTATATTGTGTGACTATTTTCCATTTCCTACAGTATAGAATTAATTGACGTTAAACAGGTACTTCACTGGATTCTAGCTCTGGAATTAATACACCTAACATAAATTATGTATGGATATCAAAGGTGAATTTGATCATCTTTGACTGATCACAAGGTCAGGTACTTTATATTATCTTATTATAAACTGATCTTATTCATGATGTAATGAATGAGCAGATTAAGATTGAGGATGAGAGGATTAAATGCACTTTACATCGATGACTACTCAGTAACTAAGTTCGAGTGAATTTCCCGATCAATATTACGTACTTAGATACTAATAATTAAGATCAACTGTACAGAGTTATTCAATTATCTCTTAAGATTAAATGAAAAATTGTTTAAAACATAAGGAAACTACATTCCATCTCTTAAATTAATTGATTACATACGAGAATGGTTTTTGTAGAGATTTTCACAAATTTCAGTAGTTGACGCAAGACCATCGTGGGAAACCTGGAAGCATTGGACGGCTGTTTCGTCCCAGTATAGGACTCTTCGGCATTATGAACTCACGATCCCGCCCCGCGCAAGACTCGAGCCCGGAACCTGTCAGTCTCGCGCGCGAGCGCTTAACCATTAGACCACTGAGCCGGCATCCAACGGTGCTAATGTCTGACTTTAACCACTGCACGAAGTTGCGCCACCGTACGCGATTGTCTCCCTATTTTACATATGGCTTATGTTAAATTAAACACTGTCTAAAATACTTCTTCTTCAATTTATTATTTTATTATTTTATTTATACACATAAACATAGGTATCAGAAGGCACCAAATATATAAGCACCACACAAATTATTCGATTTGTATGAGCGCTGGGACACTGCTCAGGTGATCAAATCAAAGCAGGTGGCATTCTTAGGGGGCCACTTCCAAAGCATTCAATTTAAAGGTCTGATCCACAAAGCAGTGAAGCAACGTAAGGAGATGCAGTCCCACGGTAACTAGTGACCAACGACTGGTTCATACGCCATTTGTTCCCTCAGGATGATGTACACCATTGGTTTGGAATCATGGTTTTCCAAGTCCTCTAGGTGTATTTTACATGTCCACCAACCCGGACATTCGCTTTTTGTCGTCTGAATTTTGTAAACAACACCCGTGTTTTAGGTTTTTACATAGACCTACAATAAATGTAGTAGGTATGTACGAGTGGAATTCTAGTTACATTTGTCATCCTATTTGATATTTATTAGTTAGATTTACTTGAATCTTACTGTTCATGTCAAATACTTATAATCAAATCCAGTACCTATTACTTCGAATATGATCATATAGTTCAGACAACTACTATGTTGTACACTAGAATATAGCCAGGATATTAGCAGTTTATGGATTCTAGATAGAAAGAAGCATATGTCTTAGCTTTCATCATGGAAATATAATCTGAACATCAACCATTAACTTATATCTATAGTTAATAATATCGTAATAATGGAGACTAAAGCTATTAATAACAATCAATGAATACATATCCTTTAAAATAAAATTCTTACCAAACAAAACGTTAGATAGTAACACTGTTAAATGTCATTTAAGCGTTTATGTGCATGACCGAAAGTCCTTGATTCAAGTCTCATGTGTGTGTGATCTTGGATACACACTGTCGAGCCGAACTAGGATGAAACTGTCATCTAATACTTCTAGGTTTTTAACAGCAGTCAGAAAGGTGATTTTATAGATATTGTAATCATTTCAATAATTGAATTCATAAGTCGATTAAAAACTACATCATCATAGAAAATTTAGAAACATTAATTAGTTGTTTCGTCCTAGAATAAGATTCTTCAACAATGTACATTCATAATCTTATCCGTTTGGATTCAAATCTCAATCCCCTCTGTTCAAACTTTCAATTATATTAAACATATATATTCACAAGAAGAAAAAAAAGTTGACAAAAATAATCTTTAAACTATACTATTGACTTACAATTGATCACCCAATGTTCTTAATGTTCAATGGTATACAATGTTTACTTTGATTTGATTGTTACTATATGTAGATTTATTTTGTCAAATGAATAAATAATTGTTTATTTATTTGATATATTCAATATTGACGAGTTAAATACACAATTGGTATTGGTTATAATCAATTCTTATTCTTATTCTTCTTTGTAATTTCTTCTTCTTTTTTTTCTTACTCTCAAATTGACCAATCAGTAAACGAGTTGTTGTTGTTGTTCTAGTTGTTGGTGTAGTTGTTGTTGTTGTTGTTGTTGTTATTGTCCTTCCTATGACTTTTATTTTCCATGAATTCGGTAAGTATACGTTAGTCTATGAATGTACATATATATATAGTCTATTGGCATTAAGTCTACGATTCTCAAAGGATCTGTCTATTTGTGTATGCATGAAGTATGTATGTTAATATGTTGTGTGTGTGTAGATGTGAATGTGTGTGTGTACATGTAACAGTATATGACTAATCTAATGTATATTTATCATATCGAAAACCGACATTCCATCCATTTCATGATCAGATCATTACTGAACAATATACGTTTCAATTGCCTGTTATATGTGGTGTTTCTATCCCAATTATACGTGTGATATGTATGTATGTATGTATGTAGGTAGGTATGCAATAGTATGTATGTTTGTAAACAAATTACACTACATTTATATACATACGATAATAAACAAAACAAGTTTTGATCTTTGATAAAAATCAGATTGGCTCGATGGATATCAATAGTTGACTAACATAGTTACGGGGAATAAATGTAAAAAAGGGAATCATTCTGAAAAGTACTACTCACATTTGAATTGTTCACAAGATTAAAATTGTTTTTGATTGGGTTCATGAACCAATTGATGTTAGACACAACCATTTAGAACCTGGAAGCACTGTACGACCGTTTCGTCTTATTGTGGAACTCGTCAGTAGTGCGCATCCACGATCCTGCTCGCAGGATTCGAACCCAGGGCCTTTGGTATCGCCGTGATCAGTAGAGCACATTTATGTCGGGTAGAGACAGGTATCCACCCCAGTACAATGGAAGATCGTTGCGCAACTTCGTGGATTGGTTGAGGTTAGACATTAACACTGTTGGATGCCGGCCCAGGCATCTAGAGTTTAAGCGTTCGCGCGCGAGACAGAAGGCACTGACTTCGGATCCCATGAGCAGGATAATGGATGCGCACTGCCATTGATGAGTCCCACAGTAGAACGAGACGGCCGTCCAGTGCTTCCAAGTTTTCAATGGTAGTCTAACATCAATTGGTTCGTGATCTCAATTTAATCTTCACAACCTCATACTGATGTTTAAACTTGTTATAGTCACATTATGCAATAATTACGCAATCCATTAAACAATATGAAAGAACTTTCACATATAAAGACAACAGCAACTACTTTATTTCAAGCAATCACTGAGATGCCCTGTTTGTATCCAAGCTTCATGTTAACCGTCATTCATTGATAAACGATATATGCAATCTTTAGAGAGGATCGATACATTTTGTAAGAAATTACCTAGCGTTACCTAATAAAACAGTTCAGGAAGTTAACACTGAATCGTTTGGGCTGATGTTAACTTTATATACATCAACTGAAAACTGAGTATTACGTAAAGACATGTTTTGTAACACCTTTCATTATGCACTGGGTAACTAAACTAGGCATATATTATAGATAATCAAAGCAGATTTCGGCATTATCATATGAAGTTATTGACTGTCAGTCTGATTATTGCTGACAGATAAAAACTTCTGGCTGAAGAAACGGAATGAAAAGGCCTAAAAATCAATCATAATGGTTTTAAGCGCGCTGGGTGGGATCGTGAATACGTACTGCTGAGGAGTCCCATGGTAGGACGAAACAAGCATCTAATGCTTCCAGGTTTTCCATGATGGTTTGACTTCAATTGACTTATGAACTCTACTATTAAACTTACTACAATCTCCACAAAACCCCTTCTGATCATAATGGATTAAATGTATTTATTCTTTATTTGATCCTATAATCTGACTTTTATTGTCAACTCAGATTTTTCAATCTCTGATTTTCATTCTTGTATTAATCATCTAGTGACTTACTTACATACATAGGCCTGTTACTCTTCGTGGTGGAGCATAGGCCGCCGACCGGCACTCTCCATCCAACCCTGTCCTAGGCAATCCTTTCTAGCTCTTTCCAATTGTTATTCATCCTTTTCATATCTGTTTCTATTTACCGACGTAGTGTGTTCTTTGGCCTTTAATCATCTAGTGAGCTGCTTCTTTTTTTTCATTATGATCACATAAAATATTACTGAATCAGACTGATTCACGTTTACATTAGGACTGTAAGTACGAATTTGTGGACTCATCAATCAATCTCAAAAAGTTAAATCAGATTTTCAAACGTTACACATCCATTAGTTTAGCATTTAAAACCAGAGTGGGATATGGTCGGGCTCACCAGTTGTAGCGTGGTATCGAGTCGCGATTGACTATGAACACCACTACAAGAAAGCGCGTACCAGAGAAACCAGAAGGCGAAGGTGGAGCGTAACCAGATCTATTTCGTTGGCGATCTCGCGGTATCGAACGAATACCGAGATCTTGCTAAAAGGAATACAAGCGGAACAAATGGGCGAGAGTACAAGCGTATAAGGTCACAGTCCACGGAAAAGGAATGGAGTGTATTGGAGTAGTAATATGGCTGTCTTTAGCATAGTTAACAAACGATCACAGTAAAACAATCACTGGTACAATTGGTTATAATAATACTTGTTTCCATTAAACCCATCGCGTTCTCTTGATAAAAGTAGGTCACTACAAATCTTACCATGTTTATAAATTTTAAATATCTTAGAAATTAAAGATCATCCGACTTCGTTGCTAAGTGGATGGAATTTAAAGCAAACGATACTGGATTCGAGTCCCAGGATGAATATTAACATTGAAATGCAGGTACATGCAGTTGACGAATCCAAAAAATAGGACGAAGTGCGCATCCTGAATTCTACTGCTAGCCACTATTCACCCTTTCTTAAAGATCATTCAGTTCGACTTATTGGGACTTAAATAGATACAACATTGAGACTATAGAAGATTTGTGAATAAGCGATTATTAACTAGATTCTGTATGAAAGTTTTAAAATAGTTTTAATCAAGAAATTTGTCAGATGACTTACAATGATAAAAGTAATAGAGTCTCTGTGTAAACTGTATAGTCTTATGTTCGATTCCTGAGATTCATGTTAATCAATGTCGATAAAATCGACTTCAACTTATATTATTCACATTTCTTTTGTAGGTTGTATTCATTATAGATGGATTTCATTATGATTTAAACTGAAAATTAGAGAGTAGTCGATAGCTTTTTCATCCCTTGAAGAGATTGAATCCAGTAGACTGAGGCTTCACGGTAATTGGTTGATTACAAGAACTATTTACTCAGCCTATAACGATAAAGCGGATACTTTAATCAATGCACTATACAGTGTGGCAATCAACTTACGCTACTGCTGATAACTGTTTCACTCTCAACATGCCTAAACTCCATTAACCAAGACTGCTTATTAAAACTCTGGCAATATTCTGAAGTAAGCCATTAATAAACAGACTATTACACATCATGGATCGATTGAAGTTAAATATTAACACTGTTGAATGCCACCTCAAGGGTTTAGAGGTTCAGCATTCACGCTCAAATCTAATGATCATCGATTCAAGTCTCGAGTGCAGAATCGTGGATGCACACTGCTTAGAAGTTCCATACTATAATGAAATAACCGTCCTATTCTTTTAGCTTTTCAATGGTTGTTTAACATTGATCAATTCATTAGTTAATTGTTTGTTATTTATTCTATTGACAATCTAAATAGATCAACAATAACCATGTTTTGTTTATGTGATATAGTTAACAAGATCATTTATTCTATCGGAATGATACTGTACTGGTCACTTTATAATAATACAGAGGAAGAAAAACAAACAACAACAACAGTATGTACTATATGCTGTTTTATAGAAAATAAAAAGGTAGGATAGATTAATCTATATATACTACTCAAAATGACCTTATTAATTATGATAAGTATAATAATAATAAGAGTAATGAGAAAACAACTTATGTAGATTTCTTTGTAAATGTATATTCATAGCTGATATATGTTAGTTTCCTTTTGTACACAATACAATAGACAGATTGGATGTAATTCGACAAGTTGGACATTGTAGATGACCTAGATTTTCTATATCATACACATCAACAAATTTAGATCAAGATAACCTGTGTATTAGAAGCTTTTACATGAGTAGACCTCAACATATATAAAGAGGAAAACCAAGATTATAAAATACAATTTAGAGAACATCAACACATTTACATTTGATGGAGAAGCTCTGGAGGAGGCGGAAATCTTTACGTACTTGGTCAACATCATCGATGAACAACGAGGATCGGGTGCAGATATAGAGGCGAAGACTGGCAAAGTAAGGGTAGCATTCATACAGTTAGAGAATATATATAACTTTAAACTATCTTCAAGCCAACATCGAAGTCCAAAATCTTCAGTACGAACATTAAGACAGTCCTACTGTATGGAGCTGAAACCTGAAGAACCATAATCATAATCAAAACTAGGCAAGCATTTATAAATACTTGTCTACACAAGATACTGAATGTCCGTTGACTGGATACCATCAGCAACAGAGAAAAAACTAGCTTCCAACTGAGTAGGAAATTAGGAAAAGACGTTGGAACATGCTTTACGGAAATAATCAAACTGCATCACAGGGTAGGTACTAACTTGGAATCTTGAAGGAAATCAAAAAAGAGGAAGGCCGAAGAACATATTACGTCGAGAATTGGAATCAGACATGAAAATAATGAATAGCGAATGAAAACAACTGGAGAGCATTGTCAAGGACAAAGTCGGATGGA